ACACAGGTTGTGTGACAGGTTATTGCACAGGTAGTGACACTGAGGTTGAATTATTAGTTAGTTATTGCCAGTTGTTCAGTTTTATTTATAGAGTTCAGTAATCTGACAGCTTGTTAATAATTACTGTCCTTTAGTCTTTTTGTACGTGATGACAGACTCCTGTATCGTCTGCCTGAGGGTAGTAGATGGAAGAGTGGTTGTGCTGGGTGGGTGTGGTCCTTAATGATGCTGCATGCTTTACGCAGATATTGGCTGTGGTAGATGTCCTAGATGGTGTGGAGACTGCTACCATTGATGTCCTCTGCTGTTTGCACCACCCTCTGTAGAGCTTTCTGACTGGTGCAGTTTCTATACCACCCTGTGATGCAGCCTGTCAGCAGGCTCTCAATGGTGCACCTATAAAAGTAGGTGAGGATGCTTGTGTTCATACCAAACTTCTTAAATCTTCTTAGGAAGTAGAGTCTTTGTCTGGCTTTCTTGATCACAGTGTTTGTATGTAAAGTCCAGGACAGAGCCTCAGTAATGTGAATGCAGAGGAACTTGAAGGTGCTGACCTGCTCCACCTCAGCATTGTTTATGTTGATGGTGGAGTGCTGACCTCCACTCTGTTTCCTGAAGTCCACTATCATCTCCTTTGTTTTGTTGACATTTAGAGAGAGGTTATTTTCTTGACACCAGCTGGTCAGTGATTTCACCTCATCTATGTAGGCACTCTCATCATTGTTGGTGATGAGGCCCAGGATGGTGGTGTCATCAGCGTACTTGAGGATGACGTTACAGCTGTGCTTGGTGGTACAGTCATGCGTAAATATACAGTACAAGAGTGGACTGAGGACACAGCCTTGAGGTGTACTGGTGCTGAGGACTAGTGTGGAGGAGAGGTGACTGCCGATTCTCACTGCCTGTGGTCTGTTGGTGAGGAAGTCCAGTATCCAGCAGCAGATGGACTTCTCCAGGCCCAGTGTGGTGAGCTTGGAGACCAGTTTGTAGGGGATTATGGTGTTGAATGCTGAGCTGTAGTCAATGAAGAGCATTCTCACATAGGTGTTTACCTTCTCCAGATGGTTGAGGGAGGTGTGAACTGCTAAAGCAATGCCCAGATGACACCCCAACTACCTTCCTACCTGTCTGTCTAATTACTGTTGCTGTAGTAGCCCAGTCTCACATAAAACACTGGAGACACTTAAAATGTACCATGTGTGACCACTGGAGTCTTCTGTCACTCAAGGACCAAGAATTCTGTAATCTGATTTATGGCACAGATGGTAGAGCTGCTGCCTCTCAGCAAGTAGGTTGCTGGCTCAAACCCTGACCAGAGGCCCTTCTGGGTAGTTTACTTGTTCTCTTCATGCATTTTTGTTTTCTCCAGGTACTCCGGTTTCCTCCCACATACTTAAAACATGCATGTTAGACTGATAGGTAACTCTAAATTGTCCCTAGGTGAGAGAGAGAGAGAGAGAGAGAGAGAGCAAGAGAGAGAGAGAGAGAGAGAGAGAGAGAGAGAGAGAGAGAGAGAGAGAGAATGGTTGTTTGTCTCGTTTGTCTCTATGTGTCCCTGTGATGGACTGGAGACCTGTCCAGGGTGTCCCTGCCTCTCGCACAGTGATTGCTGGATATGGGCACCAGTAACCCTCGTGACCCAGACAGGAAGAAACTGGTAAAAATAATGGAGGGACTGTTTCTTTGAAGCTTACTTTAGTTTGTTACTGCCTGACTCTCATTACCTTGGCAGTCAGGGAGTGAGAGAAACAAGTGTATGGTTACCATGGTGAGTAAAATAGGGCCACTGGCAGTTGTTTTAACATTTCTAAAAAAGTTAAATCTGGTCCTCTGGACATTCAAAAAAAAACAAAGCAAATCAACAAAAAAATGTAGAAACGTTTTGTCTCTCATCCGAGAGACTTCCTCAGTCTGAGGTGCTGTATTCAGCTCAGTCTCTTAAATAGCACCTTCTCAGAGTGGATCAACCAGTTTGCTGCTGACAACCAGAACCAGCTGATAATGTCAGCAGCAAAACTGGTTGATCCACTCTGAGAAGGTGCTATT